GCATCCATTGATCAGGTCATCAATCAAACTGTTCAGTCACATGTAAACCAATGGCAGAAATTTACGACCGAGAAGATGTTATCTTTGAATCGTGATGTTGGACAACAATGAGTCAAAAATAGCAATGTGTCGTCCCTGGGAATAAGCAGCTATAGAAGATGATGGGATTGTGGGTGAATTGCCACTTCTTTGAATGTACCTCATATTAAGATACACATTTATTGTGTGCATTTACAATGCAGTCCAGAAGAATTCCATTGATGTTGAGATATGTTTGCAATATTCAATTAATGTATAAATAGGCTACAAAAAAGCTAAAGAACTGCAGATGCTGGGAATCAGAAACAAAAACAGAAGTTACTGGAAAAACTCAAAAGTCAGGCAGCATCTGTGGGGAGAACAGAGTTAATGTTGTGGGTCCAGCGATCCTTCTTTAGAATGAGTTCTCAGTTCTGAAGATGGGTCACCAGACCCAAAATATCAACTGTGCTTTCTTTCAAGTGATGCTGCTGGACCTGCTGAGTTTTTCCAGCAATGTAAAGTCTAATTGTTGGTATCTAATTTTTAAAGTCATCTGTTCTGAGGAAGGGTCACTGGACCCAAAACATTAATTCTGATTTCTCTTCACAGATGTTGCAGACCTGCTGAGCTTTTCGAGCATCTCTAATTTTGTTTCTGATTTACAGCATCTGCAAGTCTTTCAGTTTTTCTTCATTGTAAGCCTTTAATGTTTAGGATTTTTGTCTCCATGTGTAAAGTATTTACACGGTTACAAGAATGCTAAGGTCAAATTTTTTGATCATGGTTTGTCATTTTAAACACAGAAAACTTGTGCTTGATGCCAAGTCTGATGTCGGACAGGACTAGAACTTACCTAATAAACTGCTTTTGAAACACTGGAATCTAAATGAATCTTTCATTGCTGAGGGCAAACAGAAGTAGAGCTTTCATGTTTTGACACTATTTTTCTTTCTGCATATTCAAACATTTAATTTTACTGTATTTCATTGTGCTAATAGAGCTAAATGACCCTGATTATGAAAAACATGTGATGCATAAAATATTGCTTTGCACTCGTCGGTTTGTGTTATTATTCGTCTATTGTAGCTTTATTTCCCTTTTATTTCTCCCACACGCAGATTAGGAAATGCTTGGCATGGGAAACAATATTTTGGAAATCTTAAAGTTTTGTTTTATTTTTAATCAACTGTGTTTCACCATGATTTATTTATGTTGTATAATAACATATCCGTCAAATAACCTAACTCATTTAGCTGGTGTTGAGAAAGCTATGGTAAATCAAAACAGTTATGATCACTGCGATTGCACTGTGTTTAGAATAATTGATCCACGTTCGTCAAAAACATAAACGGGCGCAAAACTATTCCAGTTCAAACTATCCAGGAATGTTGCAATTAACACACTAAAAATCACGTGGTCTTTCAAAAATAAAACAGTGCGGAAATTATTGGCCGAGATTTTCTAATGGCCAGACAGTCGTTTTTCCACAAGAATGAGTTTGGCGAAGGGGATCCTGCGGAATCCCCAGCACAGCAAACTCCAAGGGAATTGCCTTGGAAACTGAAGATTCTGCTGGGCAATTCCCCAATGCCTAGACCCTTTGAAAGTATCAATTTAAAATCAGAATTCAGAGGATTCCGCTGCAGGTAAGTAAATAGTCACTCAGGAAAAGTTAGTGTATTAAAGGCCTTGCCTAACTCCTCAGAAACTGTTAAACTGACCCCCAACCTAGCATACCACAAACACTCAACTACACTACCCCAGATCCTTAATGCGCCTCAGACCCATTAAACCACCCTGTACCCCCGGGACACAAGGAAATCCTTCCCTTTCCAAGACTGGACATCTTCTCCTCACCCTCTCTTCCCCTGCTGCTGGACCCGATCCTCTTCCCCCGCCCTCTGAAACTTTAACAGGAGCTGCGAAAGTGGCTGGCTGCGATGCTGGATTTTTGACTCGGAATATAGCAAATGATTTGTGAAAAAGGCGGCGTATTTTACCTTCCAACCACTGTTCTGCGCTATCGGGGATCTGTCAGAATGAAAATATACCTCCCTACTTCTGAAGGAGCCCTGATCAGAAACTCGTGTAAGAAATGCAGAGCTCTCTTTCGCAATGTGAGAAAAAGCGCGGAGAGGCAGTGTACGTCTGATCCGCCACTCCTTGAAAAGTCTGGCCAATTACATATCAAATTGTTTAGTGACGTTTAAACATTTTGGTTTTCAATTCTTCATTGGTTTCCATCTATTTTGTATTTTGATGTATTGCTGATATTTAAAATAATATATTTAATAGATATCTTAAAATCATCCAGGGGAGCTTTTCCAATGTCGATTTGCTGTTGATCATCTTATCGTGATGCAAACCAATCGTGTTTCGTGTGGCATTATAAATCAGTATGGAAGCCAGTAATTGATAATGTTAAAAACACATTTATAACTGTTGCAAAAGCACTAATCAAGTTCTTCATGTGGGGTGAGGCTAGTTCCAATTAAAGAGAATAACTCCACAGTTTTTAAGTCAATAAAATGCTGCATAGCTGTGCCAGAATGATTGAGTTCAGTGCTAGCAACAATGGCGAAAAGTCATTCACAAACTCTAAGTGGATTGGACTTTGCAATCATTTGTCAGATGAGTTCCACTCTGCTTTATATTATAATTTTTGATCATATTAGTTGATATTGTTAAAGGTTTTCTCCATGAAATGTCACTCTGTCATTCCCATGTCCACCCCCTTTTAATCTCCAAAATCCTTGAACATATTATCACTAGTAAAATCCACGCCCATCTTTCTTGAAACTTCACATTTAAAACCCTCCGATCATGTTTCCTACTGCTCCTGACACATTTCATAAAAGGCTCATTCAAAAGTCATAAATAACACGACGTGACCATGTGATCTCTCCTTTTCCTTCTCAACCTGTATGCAACTTTTGAAACAGTTAACTGCATTATCCTTTCCCCAGTGCCTCTCCATATCACTCAGCGAGGTGGAACTGCTCTCCTGGTCTATTCTTACCTGTTTAATCAAAGTTAGAGAATCACTTGCTGTGGCTCCTGTTTGCTCTCCTGCATAGTCAATTGTGACACCTTTGGTGTCCCAGAAGATCTATCTTTTGTCATTTCCATACTCAAAGACACACCACCAGTTTCACATGCACTGACAAAACCCAGCTCTGCCTCACCATCATCTCGCTCAAATCCATCATTGCCGATAAATAGGAAAATTGTTTGTTTGACATCCAATCCTGGATGAATAGAAAATCCCTCCAATGTCATACTGAAATAAATTGTTTTGGGTACAAACTCCATTTCCTAGCCATCAGCTCCAGCTCTGACACGATCACGAAGGCAGCAGACTTTCATCTGCATAACATCAGACACACCCCTGTCTCAGGCCATCTGCTACTTATCCATGCCTTTGTTACCCTCTTGACTTCCTATGCCAACTTCTATAAATTTAAAATAATCTAAATCTTTGCTGCCCATGTCTTTACTTGTACCAAGTCCCATTCCCATCATCTATGTGTTTGCTGACCTACATTATCCAGTTTTGGTTAGACTACATCTCTATGTAAAATTTTTCATCTGTATTTTCAAATTGCTTTGCAGCCTTGCTATTCCACATCTCTGTGATCTTTTACAGTTCCACAGCAAATGTGTTTGGGAATTTGGAGGGAATAATTAAGAGTAGGGCATCTCCATGGAAGAGAAATTAGGTAATAGTTCCAAAAGTTTATTTTAAATCAAATTACAATTTTTTATTACGATATGACATTTAGGAAAGTCAGGCTTGGAAGACAACAAGGGTACCTAACAATTATAAAACAAAGAACTACAGATGCTGAACCTCAAACAAAATCATAAAGTGCTGGACAAACTCAGCAGGTCTAGCAGCATCTGTGGAGACAAAAACAGATTTAAATATTTTGAGTCCAGTGACCCTTCGTCAGGAGTAGAACACCTGCTGAGTTTCTCTCTCACTTTCTGTTTTTGTCATGTAACTATCATATACAGTCATAGACTCATACAGTACAGAAATAGACTCTTTCGTCCATGCCAACCAGATGTCGAAATCTCACCTAGTTCCATTTGCCAGCATTTGGCCCATATCCCTCTAAATGCTTCATATTCAACTATACATCCTGATGCCTCTTATATGTTGTAACTGTACTCGCCTCCACCATTTCCTCTGGCAGTTCATTCGATACACACACCGCTCTCTGTGTGAAAAAATTACCCCTCAGTTCCTTTTTAAATCTTTCCCCTCTCATTTTAAACCTATCCCCTCTAGTGTTGGACTCCCCCACCCTAGGAAAAAGGCTTTGACTATTCACCCATCCATGATTTTTTGCTGTTTAAAAATGTGATAAATATAAAATGGTTACAGACTGTGCATTGGAAATAGCCAATTACTTTATATTTTCAATAAACATCACTTTCACTAATAATATTTTGTGAAGTTGAAATTATTTGTGTTTCATATTGTGTATTTTTCAGTACCCTGCTTCAGTTCCCAAGTATTCTTGTAAAAAATTGGAATTGGCAATCAACAGCATGATATTTTTAACCAGGTTTCTACTAATAATGAACAAAATCATTTTACACTTTGCAATATTCATGTAAGAATATCTGCAACTCATCTATAATTGCTTACGTTTACAAGTATTTTCACTGACTGAACCTGAACTATAAATCATATAGTATACTAACAAATTGTTTAAATCATTCCAAAAATGTATTCTGTTTCTGTAGTAACCAGTGAAATCTTTAACTACAGCAACAATTTTATTTTAATCTACAAACACTAACACCTAATGGTTACACAAATCAAGTCTTGAAGTGACAGGTGTTTAATAAGCGTGAAGGAAGGTTACTTGTCTGTCCAGCACTATATTATGCCTTCAATTACAGATTGCCTTTGTAAATCAAATAGTAGTTTCATTCTAACTAAAATATTCTCCATTTCTCAAAACCAGATTGCTGAGACATATGCATTTCTCCCAAGAGAAGCAGTTACAAGGTTTTTGATGAGCTGCACCGAATGTCAAAAACGAATGCACATAAATCCGAATGGTGTGGACTCAAAAGGTAAATGCTGGATATTTATTCAATCTGGTATTTTTTTCTGGAATACTTAACTTTCTTTTATTTTATATACTTATTTTATATATTTTTCAGAAAATGAAAGACCTTCCTCACTGGCTGGCGTGATAGATTATAATATGCCCATCACTGCCACATACTTGAAGCAGATGAAACTCCAGTTTATGAGTACACCTCAACACCTGGTAAGCATGACAAATAATGATAACAATTCACATTACATTCAGTTATATTAATAATTTAAATTGTTTAATTGAGAAAACTTCCACTTAATGCAATGTTTTACAGTTGCTTAGGATAAATATGAAATATTCTCACGAAAACCCTCTGTGGTTTCATTGGGCTGATTACAAACTAATGTGTCTGCATAATTTTGTATGGAAAAGTATGCCCATATGGTTTTTGTTCATGCTTGCTTTGTTGAGTGAATAACATACTTACTGACAGCACTAAATAACTGCACTTTTACTGTGTTAGCCTTATATTGATGGCTGTAATGATTTAAAAAAAACATTTAATTTACCAGTGCATTGTATTAAAAATAAACATTGAAAATAGGAAAGCCTTTTCTGTATTAGTGTGACAAAAAAATGCATAAACATTTAATTCACTAGTAGGAAAGTCTAGGACCCAAGACCATGGCCTCAAAGAGTGAAGGGACCACCCTTTAGAATAGCAGTGAGGAGGAATATTTTCAGCCAGAGAGTGGTCAATCTGTGGAATTCATTACACAGAAGGATGTGGATGCCAAGTGATTGAATGTATTTAAGACAGAGATAGATATATTCTTGATTAGTAAGGGATCAAAGGTTACAGGGAGAAGGCAGGAAAACGGTTTTGAGAAATGTATCAGCCATGATCGAATGGTGGAACAGACTTGATGAGCTGAATGGCCTACTTCTGCACCTGTATCTTATGGTCTGATGACTGTTCATCATCTTTTATTTTGTATACGCTATACACCTAATATCCAACTTAAAATATAATATTCCCAGAGGCCTGGGAACAGGTAAAAGGGGTAAAGGAAGATATAGAAGAACGAAGAGCCAGGAGCAAATAAATTGTGACATAGAAGATGCAGGAAATATTAAAAACAAAATGCATTTGTAGGTTTATCTCTTAAAGTTTATGTTTCATAACAGCTGAATGACAAGGTATTTTCGCATTTTCACATGGTATAGTTTGAGATAAGTTATTTATTATATATGATCAGGCAGCTGTTTGAGTCAAGCTTGCCCTCTGGTGTTAAATGTTTGTAATTAATGCATTTATTTTATACCAATATACATCTCAATTGTTTATAGAAACTTTTGCACTTATTTCTTGACAATTTTAGCAAATTTCTGCTTGATAAGTATTTGAAAATGTTGTGAAATACACTGCACATCTCAAAGCTGTTAATTGATGACACTTAACCAGAATTTTCAAACAAGCTGCTTGGGAGGATTTCAATCAGTAAAGTGTGGGAGAAGGCAGTGGGACAGCGAGGAAAGAAATCAGTCTAAGATTGGTGTAGTTGGGAAAAGGAGCGAGTCAAGCAGTTAGGGAAGGCAGGAACAAAGCAGAGAATGAAGTAGGACTGATAAATTAAACTGCATGTATTTCAATGCAAGAGGCCTAACAGATAAGGCAGATGAACTCAGAGCATGGTTGACAACATGGGACTGGGATATCATAGCGATTACAAAGATGTGGCTCAGGGATGGACAGGACTGGCAGCTTAATGTTCCAGGGTATAGATTTTATAGTAAGGAAAGAAGTGGGGGTGGAGGGTGCGGCATATTGATTAGAGATAACATTACGGCTGTACTAAGGGAGGATGTTCCTGGGAATACGTCCAGGGAAGTTATTTGGATTGAACTGAGAAATAAGAAAGGGATGATCACCTTATTGTGATTGTATTATAGATCCCACCTGCCCCTGCCGATAGTCAGCTGGAGATTCAGAAACAAATTTGTACGGAGATCTCAGTTATCTAACAATAATAGGGTGGTAATGGTAGGGGATTTTAACTTTCCAAACATAGACTGGGACTGCCATAGTGTTAAGGGCTTGGATGGAGAAAAATTTGTTAAGTGTGCACAAGAAAATTTTCTGATTCAGTATATGGATGTACTTACTAGAGGACATGCAAAACTTGACCAGGTGCCTGAGGTGGTCAGTGGGAGAGCACTTTGGGGCCAGTTAGCATAATTATATTAATTTTAAAGTAATGATTAAAAAGTATAGACTGAATCTAAAAGTTCTAAATTGGAGGAAGGTCAGTGTTGACGGTATTAGGCAAGAACATTCAAAAGTTGATTGGGGGGGGTGCAGATGTTCGCAGGTAAGGGGATGGCTGGAAAATGGGAAGCCTTCAAAAATGAGATAACAGGAGTCCAGAGACAGTATGTTCCTATCAGGGTGAAAGGCAAGGCTGGTAGGTGTAGGGAATGCAGATAATTAGAGAAATTGAGGATTGGGTCAAGAAAAAGAAGGAAGCATATGTCACGTATAGACAGCAGGGATTGAGTGATTCCTTAGAAGAGTATAAAGGCGGTAGGAGTATATTTAAGAGGGAAATCAGGAGGGCAAAAAGGGGACATGAGATAGCTTTGGCAAATGGTTCAGCAGGATCCAAAGGGATTCTACAAATACATTGAGGACAAAAGAGTAACTAGGGAGAGAACAGGGCCTTACGATCAGCAAGGCCGCCTATGTGTGGAACCGCACGAGATGGCGGAGATACTAAATGAGTATTTTGCATTGTTTATTGTGGAGAAGGATATGGAAGATAGACAACATGAGAAAATAAATAGTGACATCTTGAAAAATGTCCGTATTACAGAGGAGAAGATTGGACGTCTTAAAATACATAAAGGTGGATAAATTCCCGGGACCTGATCACGTGTACCCTAGGACTCTGTGGGAAGCTAGGAAAGTGATTGCTGGGCCCCTTGCTGAAATATTTGTATCATCATAGCCATAGGTGAGGTGCCGGAAGACTGGAGGTTGGCTAACATAGTGCCACTATTTAAGAAAGGCGGTAAGGAGAAGCCAGGGAACTATAGACTGGTGAGCCTGATATCGATGGTTAGCAAGTTGTTGAAGAGAATCCTGAGGGAAGGATTTACACGTATTTGGAAAGGCAAGGACTGATTGAGGATAGTCAGCATGGCTTTGTGCACGGGAAAACATGTCCCACTAACTTGATTGAGTTTTTTTAAGAAGTACCAAAGAGGATTGATGAGGGCAGAGCGGTGGACATGATCTATGTGGACTTTAGTGAGGTGTTCGACAAGATTCCACAAGGTAGATTGGTGAGCAAGCTTAAATCACACGGAATACGGGCAGAACTAGCCATTTGGATATAGAACTGGCACAGAGGGTGGTGGTGGTGGAGTGTTGCTTTTCAGACCAGAAGCCTGTGACCAGTGATGTGCCACAAGGATCGGTGCAGGGTCCACTGTTTTTTGTCATTTATATTAGTGATTTGAATGTGAACATTGGGAGGTATGGTTGGTAAGTTTACAGCTAACACTAAGATTGGAGGCATAGTGGATAGTGAAGAAGGTTACCTAAGAATATAATAGGATCTTGATCAGATGGACCAGCAGACTGAGAAGTGGCAGAGGGAGTTTAATTTAGATAAACGTGAGCTGCTGCATTTTGGTGGGGCAAATCAGGGCAGGACTTATACACTTAATGGTAAGGTCCTGGGGAGTGTTGCTGATCAAAGAAACAGAAAATTGTGAGCCTATTGAAGTGGATCATGGGCATCATTGCCCAGCTTAACACATCGAAAATGTATTTGCAACATGTCTTCACAATCTGTATACTTGTAGCATTCAGTGCTAGTTTAGATGGGGTCTGACTTCATTCTTAGAAATATTTTAAATATTTCTGATAAACTAGATCACTGGCAGGCATCAACACCTCACGCAATCCACAAGTTGGAAGCCAACTTCTCAAAATTGCACAAGGTTTTACACTTCTGGTATAAATGCAACATTTATCCAACTGCTATATGTATCCACCAAAATAAGGAACTCTGTAATCTATTTAAAGAAATCAACAAATATTCATTCGCATGTTTTTTTGTTGGATCCTTGAACTTGAGGTGCATCATTTCTCATTCTGAGACACACTTTTCACCAATTCTTCAATACCCCTGTATACTTTTGGATACCAAAAACAGTTTCTTACTACAGCTTTTATGCAGGCTATCGCTGTATGCTTTTGATGTGTTGTTGTCCCCAACAATCTTTCTCTAGACTTTGGTGGAATAATAAGTATAAATAAACCCCAGAGGAGACAACATTGATAGGACTGATTATGATTTTGAATACCATAGGGGAGTGGTGATGGCCTAGTGGTATTATTGTTGGACTGTTAATCCAGAGACTTAGGTAATGTTCTGGGGACCTGGCTTTAAATCCCGCCATGGCAGATGGTGGAATTTGAATTTAATAAAAAAGAAGTCTGGAATTAAGAGTCTAGTGATGACCATGAAACCACTGTTGATTGTCAGAAAATACCTATCTGGTTCACTAATGGCCTTTAGGGAAGGAAACTGTTATCCTTACCTGGTCTGGCCTACATGTGACTCCAGACCCATAGCAAAATGGTTGACTCTTAACTGCCCTCTGGGCAACTATGGATGGGCAATAAATGCTGGCTCAGCCAGTGACACCCTCATTCTGTGAATTAAAAAAAAACACACCTAACTCCTATGGTGAGACATCTTATACTAAAACTAGTTCTTTCTTAGGATCAGAGGGTCAAACAGCATCACTAGTCAGTGTTTTCTTCAGGCACTCCATACAGTACATCCAAGCTATTTCATCTTTGAGCAGTTGATACAGTATGTTACCTAGGTCAGGTTGAAGTTAAATTGATATCAAATCATCCCTACAAATGTTCTAATTTATTCTTTAGTCACCAGTCTCTTTGCTTTCAAAGTCCACTTAACTTTCTTCTGTGTTAGACAGATACCTTCATCAATTTGGTGATGAAGTCATACTTTTGTAGCTGATTTAGGACTGTTGGCTATACTCGTGGGTTTCATTCCCTTTCCTTATTGTCATCTCTCTGTGGTGTTTTGGAATAGAAATAACACTCAGAAATTCTATTTAATCGGTCATGCTGTTGCAAAACCACTATTCACAACTCTCAACTGAATTTCAGTATCACCAATTAATCACAC